GGTTCCTGTGCTGCTCCAAACCCACCCAAGGTACCCTAAGCCAGGCTGCCACTGCAGCTTTCCTGCCCTTGTCCCTCACCTGGAGCAGGGACAGGCCCGAAATGGGGAAAACAGTGTGATGCTCCCAGTTACATACTAAGTAACTCCACACACTTCAAAAAGCAGATTGGTCATAAATCAAAAAAAGAAACATTCACCTCTTGCCTGGCAGTCTCTGCTGGCTTCCCCAGCTGGGCTGGAGGGCACTCCTCCAGGCCTGTGAAGGGGTTCACCAGCTCACAGTAAGGCATGCTGCCCTGGCAGGGGAAATTGCTTGCTGTTCATTGGTGTTTTCCACAGATACTGTTTGCTCTTCTCTCCCAGAAATCCCCACAAATGTGACAATTGCATGTGTTCTCTAGCTTGCCTCTGCTAGCAGAAGCAGACTGTGTCACTGCCTAGCAGAGGTGCCTTCCCCCCGCCTCAGACAGTGTCAATAAATCCCCTTGTATTTGTCCTGTGTACAATGAGATTCTTGTGCAGCAGACACCCTGCTGCACAATGTACCCAAGTTTCCCAGAGAAGCCTTACTTAAAATAGATGCTGTGATACTAGGCAGCACAGATCTTCATCTCTCTGATTTCATACCACTTGTTGCACATTAAGTCAATTAATATGGGCTTGTAGCTACTTCTGTATGAGTGCTTTTGGTTTTTGTTTTGTTTTTAAATCTTGTACAAGATAAAAATACCCCACAGAAATGCTTTGAAACATAGCTAAGTGGAGCTGTGATAAAATTCTCTCAAGCAGCCTTCCTGGAGGAGGAGTGCTGCTATTATATGCAGGACTTTTGCTTAGACTTTGTCATTTATAGAAAAGCTTCCGAGAAACAACCCCCCAGGGTTTTTTTTTTCTTGTTGCTCAACAGCTATCCTGTTACATGTGCATCTCAAACCTGTAGGAAAACAAGCAGGTTATTGTTATGGCAAGGCTGTGACCTGGAATTAGGACTAAGGGGTGTTTCCTAAAAGCTCTCTACTTGTTGCATCTGACAATTGTTACCACAACCTGTTTCCTCTCTAATATTTGGAAGAGAAGAACTCAGACTTATTTCTGTGGATTCAGTGAATGCCTATCTCTTTATCACTCTTAAATGTTATGCCAGACCAAAAGCAAAGTACAAAGCAGGAGCAGGGGAAAGCCAGTAGTAGTGACTACCATTGCAACGATGTCCATTGGGGCTAACATTTCTTAATTGCAATCCAGGAGGAATGAGATTAGTTTCCAGAGTCTGTCCAAGTGCCTTCTAACCTAGCAAATAGTTGTTTCAGTGTAAAGAGCCTTCCAGGGAATGGAGCCAAGAGCATTCATATGATAGTCTACAGAGCCCTTGGTAGGAGAAAAGTGGCTCCTCCTTGTTCTCGGCAGCTTCAAGCTAGAGAAAAGTTACTATAGCTGCCAGGAAGGTGTATTGTGATCACCAGGCAGGGAGGTGGCACATACCAGATTAGCTGCTTTCTGCTTTTGTTAAATAATGACCTACTTCTGTAGGAAAGTTCAAGGAACCCCTGCACAGGCTTTGGGTAGATAGGATGTATCCACCCTAGCATAGGATGTCAGAGTGCTGTTCCCTTCCTGGACTATTTCAGTTTTTTGGGAACTGCTAAGCAGTTGCTGTTTCATGTCAGAGTTGTTCCCATTAACAAAAGTCACTTCTGGTGATGTTCTGGTGAGCACAGGACTTGTACCTTTCATCCAAAGTGTTTTCAAAAAAAAAATACATGATAAAATATATCCAATAAAGGAAGTGGTCAGTTTCTAGGGGAATTGTGGCTATCATTGGCTGCAGGATGAGTAACTCCAGCATTCTCTTCATTAATGTTTAGCAAGCCAGATAAGTAGGAGTGATTTGCAGTATGTCCTGGATGTGCGCTTGGTTGGTTTACCTCTAGATCCAATTGATTTAGACTTACCCATTGGGAACTGAAGATGCATTTGCTGATACAATGTCAATACATAGCCCTGCTGCAAA